AGCTCTCTCCTATGTCATGTTTAATAATAGTACTTTACTAAACTCTGTTATTGTAGAGAGTTTTCAGTTCATAAGTAGTCATGTCATTATGCTTGCAGGCTTTGCTAAAGCATATTTAGATGTGCTCTAAATATTGCACATCTAAATCATATGTCATTGATTTTACCTGAAGATTTGTGCACGTATTTTCTTTTTTACTTCCCTTTTTCTTTTCGTATTTGATTGAATCATTTTTTAATGCTATTTGATTAAGTCATTTAGATGTGCAATAACTAAGACATCAATTATAACGTTGACACACACACGCACATGTCTACTGAATACTGGGTTTATACTAAAGATCTGGGTCGAAGTTGCGAAGCCTTAAGATTGACGATGTCAACGTGAGCGACTTGCTACCTACAGAGAAAAAAAATCAATATTAACAAGACAGCGAAGCGTCAAGTCTACAGTTTGATCTCTGTTAAACTAGGGTACCACTGCCTCCTAACCATCTAATCACTGGTGTAATTGATATCTTCGCAATATTAATATATTCTCTTTGTCGATCTAACCACTGGTTAATGCTCATTATATTCTTACAACAACACCGGAATGCTCCATTACATCACATATCCCTTTCAAGCGAACTATCAAATAACCCTCGATGCCAAAGTTTTCCTTCAAGCAACCGCTCATCAATCCACAACTACCGCCATTGATTTTCGCAATGCAAAGCTTTGTAGATCTGCCGGTTGAAGCACATTTGCTTATTCATGTCCCCGTTGCAACGCACGGGCACTTTTGCTAGTCTATATCTAAATCTATACCAATATAAGAGGATCCAAAGGGGCAGATCCAACTGATCTCGACCATCAAACTAAGTCGATCCAATGACCTAGACTGCTTCAATGGCGAGGATTCAACGTGTTTAACGTGTAATTAATATTATACCAAATATTGCATTAATTATAAAATTAACACACAAATAATAACATAGCTAATATATCCGTATGCTATTAATAAATTGCCTAAATATTAACGTGTATTGCATGTACGCATTTACTAGTTTGTTCAAATAGGATGCGGAAAGGATCCACTATGACGTGATAAGTTTAAACTTGCCTGTAAATAACAGTTCTCCCATTGTCGAACACTGAAAACACTTTCACAAAAAAACACCATTCTTTTTCCCACAAGAAAAGAAAAGAAAACACGGTTCTTTGACAAGTGCCAAGCTATATAAACCTTGATCTGCTTCGCCTCCGGGCTGTGATTCGTCTTTTATTTTTATTTTTTGAGAAACATTCGTCTTTTTCTTTTTGAGAAATACATTCAGCTTTTCTTAAGGAAGGGGTTGTAATTCGATGCGGAAAGTGTTTTGTAATTCGACTAGGCGACCCACTCACCTGCTCAATATAAAACGGGGAGGCCAGGTCGCGCCAAGGGCCCGACCAAGCCCAGCCCATACCGGCAGCCACCTCCGTCGTCGTCGCTACTGACGCGGCACGAGCCGGCGAATCCAAGAGGCCCCCGACCTCTCGCTCGCTGCGAGATCCCGCGTCCATGGTGGTCGGCATCGTGCTCCTGCTCGACCTTGCGGCCCGTGCGCCCCGCTCCTCCGCCTCGCTCCACTCGCACGCCGCCTTCTCCGCCGCTGCCGCCGCCGCCGCCGCCGCGGCAGCCTTGTCCGCCTCCGGCGTACCACTCTCCGCGCGGCCATTCTTCGGGTTAGTTCGACCCCCCCTTTGTCGATCTAACCACTGGTTAATGCTCATTATATTCTTACAACAACACCGGAATGCTCCATTACATCACATATCCCTTTCGAGCGAACCATCAAATAACCCTCGATGCCAAAGTTTTCCTTCAAGCAACCGCTCATCGATCCACAACTACCGCCATTGATTTTCGCAATGCAAAGCTTTGTAGATCTGCCGTTTGAAGCACATTTGCTTATTCATGTCCCCGTTGCAACGCACGGGCACTTTTGCTAGTCTATATCTAAATCTATACCAATATAAAAGGATCCAAAGGGGCAGATCCAACTGATCTCGACCATCAAACTAAGTCGATCCAATGACCTAGACTGCTTCAATGGCGAGGATTCAACGTGTTTAACGTGCAATTAATATTATACCAAATATTGCACTAATTATAAAATTAACACACAAATAATAACATAGCTAATATATCCGTATGCCATTAATAAATTGCCTAAATACTAACGTGTATTGCACGTGCGCATTTACTAGTTTGTTTAAATAAGATGCGGAAAGGATCCACTATGACGTGATAAGTTTAAACTTGCCTGTAAATAACAGTTCTCCCATTGTCGAACACTGAAAACACTTTCACAAAAAAACACCATTCTTTTTCCCACAAGAAAAGAAAAGAAAACATGGTTCTTTGTCAAGTGCCAAGCTATATAAACCTTGATCTGCTTCGCCTCCGGGCTGTGATTCGTCTTTTATTTTTATTTTTTGAGAAACATTCGGCTTTTTCTTTTTGAGAAATACATTCAGCTTTTCTTAAGGAAGGGGTTGTAATTCGATGCGGAAAGTGTTTTGTAATTCGACTAGGCGACCCACTCACCTGCTCAATATAAAACGGGGAGGCCAGGTCGCGCCAAGGGCCCGACCAAGCCCAGCCCATACCGGCAGCCACCTCCGTCGTCGTCGGTACTGACGCGGCACGAGCCGGCGAATCCGACAGGCCCCCTACCTCTCGCTCGCCGCGAGATCCCGCGTCCATGGCGGTCGGCATCGCGCTCCTGCTCGACCTTGCGGCCCGCGCGCCCCGCTCCTCCGCCTCGCTCCACTCGCACGCCGCCTTCTCCGCCGCCGCCGCCGCCGCCGCCGCGGCAGCCCTGTCCGCCTCCGGCGTACCCCTCTCCGCGCGGCCATTCTTCGGG